GGGAGTAAGGGGGGGGGTGGGGGTCTATTGTCAACATTGCCCGCAAAGACGACAAGTTTGACGTCGGCGCTCCGACGCACCTGCGTCTGGTTAGCGGCCGCGCCGCGACGACGTGGAGGCGGACCCGCTTCCCGTTTGGCTGGTCTTTGCGTCAGGCCGAGCTTGTGGGGCGCAAAGTCGCCGGCTGCCGGGCCGGCACGCTTTTGCTCCATTTTTGTGCAAGAAGGCGAGCCGGGGCTGGCGCCGCGTACGTCTGCGCGACGCCACCGTCGCTAATGTGTTTATACAAGGACCCTCGCATTCCACGCTAAGAGCCTCCGCTAAGGGCCTCTCGCCAACACACAGGCCCGTTCTCAAATATCCATTGTGGCATTATCCCGTCGCTTCGGCGAGGAAGGGGAGGGGCGGGCGCTTTGGGTCGGGAGGACATCCATCATCGGCCGGCGGGCCCGTCACATTAGCCGGGACGGCTCCGCTCGGGCTTTCTGACGGCTCGCGTTTGTGTTAGCTCGCCGCTGCGCTCATCTCCACCATGGCGGCGTTGAACAAGTTTTTTCTCTGTTTTCTTTTCAGATGATGCCAAAATGCGTGAGTGAGGTGCTTCCTGTTTGGAAGCGAGCCGGTCTTCATTTGGAAGCACATACCTCGGGTCAAAGGTGCGTCGCATGAGGCTAAATCGCTGCTTTTGCCAGAAAGCCGAGATTCAAACCTTGAACTTGCAAACTGTGAGGCGGACGCGCTTCCCGCTGTAACGCGCTAATCCGCGTGAGGAAATGAACTGAAAAACGTTTATTTCTTTTTCCAAATGCTTTTCAATAACGCGGCGGCAGATAAAATGGCAGCCGTGGAGATGAGAGCAAAAAAAAAAAAAGAAAAGAAAACCCAAACAAACAAACAAAACGGCAACAAAAAAAAAATGGCGGAGATCCGTCAGCCATTGTGCTCGCTGACACGCTAATCCTTGCAGGTGTTGTCGCGCGGCGCGGCGTCGGGGCCCTTTTCGCCGCGCACGCCACTCCGGCAACGGCGGCTGCCTGCCTGCCTGCCTGCGCTTCCCTCCGAGCGGCTCGCCGTCAGCCGTCACTTGGGCGGCGAGAGCGGATCCCCTTACGGCGTCTTTGTGTCGCCATTGTGCCGCCCGGAGAGCCGGCTCCTTTCGGAATGCCAGGTGCCAGCGGAGCTCAAGAGGGGACGCAGGTAAAGCCTCCCCCCCCCACCCCCCCGCCCTTGTTGCAGAGCCCGCGAGGTGTCAAGTGGGAGACTTTCTTGTCTTGTCGTGGCGCTGAGACGTTAAGAAAGCGTGTCAGCCGCTCTTTGGCGGTTTGTTTGTACTCGGGGACGCGGCGGCGGCGGCTTACAAAACGCGACGACGTGTTTACCTTTTTTCTCCCCTCAAAGCGCGTCACACGTCAGCCTTATTAAATTTGCAAGCAGAAGAAAAAGCCGCGTCAAAAGCTTTATCGCGTCTTTTGTGTCAGGCGCTATCGCGCTGCACCGGGGGAAGAAAAAAAAAAAAAAGATAAACAAGGCCGAATTCCCCCCCCCCACCACCACACTCGGTCCTTTTGGGTTGCGCTTGGGTTTGTCGCGGTTTTGTGACAGACGTCAGAAATGCGTTATTGTGGCATGATGGATCACTTGTGTTCAGTCTCGCGGGCGCATCACAGCGCACGGGCGACATTGCCGAGGATTTCTTCTCTCGTCCCGATCGAATCCAAATCCGCGTACGTGATTTATTGACTCGTTTGAAGCCGAACGTCGTCGTCCGCGTTTCAGCCGTTGGATTTCCTTCCCAACGACTGCCCTGCGATTCAAGCGACCCGACTCGGTTCATTTTTTTTTGGGCCCCCTTTGACTCGCACGCGATACGAGCAAATGTTTTTGTTCGTAAAAGAAAGGCTCGAAACTGCTCGTGCCACTCGCACTTCAAGTTTCCCATCAAAGACCCCAAAAGAAAGGCCGTTGCACAGACGTGCGCTCGCTTGGCGCTCGTCAGGACGAGCGCTTCGGATTGGATGCAAAGCCGAAACGCCGAACCGACTTTTTCCAAAGTTTTTTCCAAACGTGACTTGGGCAACTATGCAAGGCGACAATGATTGACCTCCAGTGAAGCAAAACCATTTGGAGTCGTCCTGTTTGGTCACTGCTGGCCGTCCCGTTTTGAAGAAGTCGCGTTGTCCTCGGGGAAGTGAATTAGAATGCAAACTTTGTCTTCCTCAAAGCGGGAATCCAAGGGCACCCGGACCAAGTTTGCGATGGCTGCTGTGTCAGCGCTGCGCTTAAACCAGCTGCAAAGATTAATCGCAGGCAAACGCGCGCACCAGCGTCTATCTAACGCTCGCAGCGGTTCAAAGTGTGCCGGCGCTTGGAAACAGATTAAAAAGTGGCTACCAAGTGATGCATTGCAATTGTCATCGCGACGGTGCGAGAGAGAGAGAGAGAGATCCTTTTTGCATAAAAATACTCGCGTTTTGTTTTTTTTTTGTTTTTTTCTTTTTCTCTCTTGCCGCGGTATCGCTAAGTCGCTAATCCCGCGCGTGGTCGCCTTTGCGGCGCTGGCAAATAAACAAAAGCCGCAGAAGGAGGGCGGCGGAGGTGCGTCAACCGGCCCTTCCTCGTGCACTTGAGGACAATAAACAGACGTGGAGCTTTGAGGTCGCGTGAAGTCGAAAAATGTCAGCCGTGTCAACGGGACCCGCGTTGACCCGTCTGCGCATCTCCGATGAATCGGCCGGCAGCGGGACGGTGGGGCGAGGACGCCGTGAATGTGAACAGCGCCAAAAGCTGCCGGTTGCCACGCTTTGGTTTCGCCTCGGTTGCACGGTGACCGATTTTAGGCTAGCCGCACGCTAACGAAAACGTTGCGCCGATCTCGGTGGATCTCTTTCGGTCCAAAATCCGCCTCAATGTGAAGCCGAACTTGGACCTTGCAGAGTATCGAGATAAAGACAGGCCGGCATGTGCTTTGCTCCTAAATTGAGCCCCTTTGCCTGATTTGAGCAAGTCGGCGAGCGGCGACGGCTCGCCGGCGCGCCAAACCCGAGCGCCGATGTAATCGTCCAACGTGGTTTTTCTTTAAAGGACACAAAATGTCTGACATGAAAAGAGCCCAATCGGCCCAGCGATCAGCCGGCGCGTGAACGAAGGCGGCGTCATTGTGCGCGGCGTGTCGCCATTGTGCCGCCCCCGCGCTGATAGAATACGCCGCCGCGATAAAGAAAGCCAACGTCGCCGAGGGTCACGCGGCGTTTTTTGTTCTGCACGCTCATTGTCGCCGCCCGGGAATCGCGACAAAGCGGCCGGGATCAGGCCGGCTTTCCGGTTCAAGAGACGAGCGCGGGTCTTTGGATTAGCGGCGAGCGCTAATCAGCGTTTGTCCCACCTGAAGCCGCCGCGCTCGTCTTCACCTTCTTTAAATTAATCGATGCTCGGCGTAAGCCGGCCTTTGTCGCGCCCGGACGCCGGCGTTTTCGTCGCTTTTAACGACTTTGTCGAGCGAGTCCCTCTCAACCGCCGGCGGGTTGCGGCGCGGGCGGACGCCTCAAAAGACGGCAAAGGATCCCGCCGAGCGCTCGCGCGGCTTTTAGCGGGGGGGCCGACGACGTCCCGCCTGAGATGACAGCCGCGCGCCGTGGCTTTGCGAAACTATTGTTCATCTTCAAACGTTGGCGGAAGAGTCAAACGAAACTGGTCTTTGCTGAGCGCGAAGTCAACTTGCTAGCACCGCAAAAAAAAATTGCCCGCAAGTTCGGTCGGCTCGACGTGAGAAGAAAGGCCATCGCCGGACCGGCTCTCGCCGTGTTTGCGTTGGCGCTAATTCCTCACACCTTCCGATTGTGGCGGCGGCGCCCGCCGGGTCTTAGCTTGAGCGCGCGTGACACGCCGGCGTCCAAAGCTGTTCATTGTGTGCGCTCAACTTTTCAAAAGGAAATCCATTCTGTCTCTTAATTGCATGTCGGGCCGCATCCCGCCGACGTTTGAAATGAGCAAAAATGCCGCTCGCTCTTTGTGCGCGTGGCAGGAGGAGGTGAGCTTTGTCTTTTTCAGCTTTTCCCCTGCTCAAATGTTCCTGCCTCACTTTTTATTGTTGGATTTCACATTTTCTTGGCGCTCGAGGTCATCGACGTTGACGGCGAGGGCGCGGGGGGGGGGGGGATTAAAGCAGGGCCGTTCTCGCCCCCTCCCTCTTTTGATCGGGACTTTTAATTACATGGCCGTAATGAAGGGGGCCGCCGCGTCCGGCCTTTGAAAGTCGAAGCGTTCCGCGTCGGTTGGGCGCGGCCAATGAGCAAAGCCGCCGCCCCGATCACGCGGACGCCGCCATGAAGGTTTGCGTTTCCGCAACCCCGTCGGAGCGGCCGAGTCGCCGGGCCCGATGAGGCCGCCTGAGGTCGAGGGAGGGCGAAGGGCCGCTCGGCTGGGGCTTGGGGAATATTGCGGGCGGGCGGGGGCAGGGGTAGGAGGGTTGATATACTGGATGTGCTATTTGTGCTATTTCGCTGATAGGCTGCGAATCAGGATTTCCTGCTTCAGTGCACTCGGCGCGCTAAAGCCGTCCGAGCGAGGAGGCTAGGCAAAGTGGTGACGCTGATTTACACACACACACACACACACACACACACACACACACACACACACACACACACACAGACGTCCTCACTTTTTGCACAAGCTCATCAAATGCGTGTTTGCTGCAGTGGTGAAGAGAAACCATTTTCTTTCTTCCATCCCAAAGAAGCGGAGCTCCGCCCGCCTTCAACTATTGGACGGGAGATAGCGCCCGCCGGTCCCTCCAAAGCAAGTCAAGCCAGAGCCCAACAAAACCTTGCTGTTTTTTTTCGTCTTTGCCGATTCGTATCTCGCACGTGAGCTTTTGCGTTCCGTCGGAAACGTCGGGAAAGAAGGTCCAGCAGGGATCCAAGAACGTTGAAAGGCGCCAAATCAAATGACAATCGAAGGTCCCGTTCCAAGAAATGTCCTCAGATGAAGAGAAAAGAACAAACGTGTCCACTTGGAATATTTGCGGCCATTCCGCCTCGCTTGGCGGTTTGCGTCGCGACACCGGCAACTTTTGCTTGATTCGGTGCGCGCACAAAAGCGACACAAAAGAAAGTGCGAGGGAGCGAAGTGTGCGCGCGTGTGCACGTGTGCGTCGCGGGCACCGCTCAAGTTTGGCGATGGAAATCTCTTTGTTTGTGCTGTTGTTTCGCTCGTGTCGCGCGTTTGGAGGCAATTGTCTTCTCCTGGCTTCGTCTCCTTTGTTTTGGATCTGCAAACATCTCTCGCGGGCACACGCACACGCGCGCGCGCAGGCGCTCGTACGCACGCGTGTGCGGCGATGAGATTGGAGCCCCTTTTTTTTTGCCCTTATTGGAAGTTGCGGCAATCGCGGTGATGATTTTCTCCCCTCAATTAAATGATAGTCTCCTGCGCCAGCCGGCGTCGAGCTAATCAGCTTGTAATTAATGCGCCCGCCGAGCGCCTCCCGACGGCGGCGCGCACGCAAACGCTTTTGGCGTCCGTTTGAGGCCTTGCGACCGGCATGACTTTTTCTCTGGCCGAGGTTGTTTTCATTTTTTTTGTCTGCTGTCCACAAGCCGCAATTTGGGAGGCCATTTTCCCCCTGCCGTTGAGGCCAAAAGCGCTTGAAAAGGTGCGAGTCCGTTCGGACTGGAGGACAAGTCATTCGCCAGGACGTCGTGTTTGCTCTGCGGCCACGAGAAAACAGAAATCTTCCCTCAGGCTGCGGGCGGGATCCACTCTGCTTTTTTTATTTTTTTTTTTCCTAAGACCCCTGCAGACTTAAAAGCTAACGTTAGCTTATTAAGCTGAGCCCGCCCGCATGCATATGCATGCATGCATGCATGCGGGAATCTGGGCCGCGCTGGGCGAATCCCATTTCCAAATCCACATGCGCCACCAAAGCCGCCCGCCT